GTTTGAAGGCCAGGTCCTCTCCCACACTGCACTGTTTCTCTTGGCCTCACTGGATGTGGTCATCTCTTCTCCCAGGACACCTCTCAAAAGGGAAGTTTAGCAACTTCTGGCTTGATTAGCCAGGCACTCTTACATACTCTTGCCAGCAGATGGCACTCTCCACCAGTCCTCTGCAGTTTGTCCCAAATAGGAGGCCCTGAAATGCACCCCTGGGAAAGGCCTCTGGGAAAGAAGCCACCTTCTCCCATGATCTCCCCTCCCTTCCCCTCCCCCAATAGGGTGGTCTGGTGGTCTGGGCCACGGAGCAGGCCACGCCCAGAGGCCCGAGGCCAGGGCTTTGAGGACCCTGATGTGAATGCCTGAGCTGTTGCTTGGGGCAACCTGGGCAGCCTAGTTATAGGTTAAGTATGGAAAATTCCTGCAGTTTGAGGAAGCCAGGCTGTGGGCATCCACTGGTGCTGCTCCTGAACCTGCTGGAATCTTTACTTCTGCTGTAGCAGGTCTTTCTTGGAGGGGGCTGAGTAGAGGAGCCAATGTCATCAGAAGAGGAGGAAGAGGCAAGTAGATGCCTGTGCAGATTGACGTCAATTCTCTCCCTCCATCTCCCCTGAGGGAGACCTGAGCCAGTACCCACCCCCCACCACACACACACACACACACACACACACACACACACACACACACACACACTCCCTCTCTCTGCTCTGGATCAGAGGTCAGAGGCCATGGTAGGCCCGCACAGAGGACACACTCCTGACCCCATTGTTGTGGTTCTGCCACCTTTCACTGTCTCTTGGTTGACATGGGATCGTCAGTCTCACTGTAGCTGGCCGGAGGCAAAGCCAGGAAGGGTGAGGGACTTGAGTCAGAGGCCAAAGAGGGAGCTTGAATTCAGGGCTTTCCAGAGGACACATTGAGTGCTTTAAGTTTGGGTGGCTGCAGGGACCCAGAGTCCCCTACAGTGGCCAGGACAGGGGCCTTCATCTCAGGTCTCACGTCATTCACTGGTGCCCTGAGCAGAGCAGAAACGAGAGTCTCCGGCTGCAGTGAAGAGCAAAGGTTCAGCTAGACTCAGAAAGGGCTTGTGGGTCCAGATGGCTGTGACGCCACGTGACAGGCTGTGCGTCACCTCTCTTGGCTTCAGACTTGGCTTCCTCTAGTGGATAATGTGGGCTGCACAGCAGGTCACTCCTAAGGGACCCTAGTTCCTTTGTCAGCACACAGGAGGACTAGACATCTGGGTGTGGCAGGAGGGCCGTCAAGGCCATGCCTGTTGCCTGCAGCTGGGGCTTCTTTAAGTTCCAGTACCCAGAAGCCACCACAACAGCTCTTGGGATAGGATCTAAGACCAGATTTCAAAGACCATGATCCCAGGTCCTAGCAAACTCTCTACAGGAAAAGTGACTTTGAAAGTCATGGTCCTCAGGGGTGCAGTCTATAAAGCTGCTTTCCACCCAGCTCTGAGAAGACTGCCTGGGATCCGCCAATGCAGCTTGGGCAGCAATTTATTAAGACTGAGGCCCGGCATGGAAAGGTGGTCTACATTACTGTGAAGACCTGTGACTGAGGCAGGGGCCCAGAGTGAGCCAATCCTTTCTGCCAGGGTGATAGACCGGCAATCCATCCCCAGGGAGAGGACTTGGGGGTGATATCACAGACTCTCCACCCCTCCTGACTGTGCTGAGGGCTAATCACTACAGAGACAGGGAACAAAAGTGATGGCTTCCTGTCTGGTTTGCTCCCCGCCATCCCTGAACTCTGCCGTCTGCCACTGGGATGTTACAGCCGCTTTCCTGTGAGTCCTGTGGCAAAGCCCTGGACAGGCATTTCCTTCCAGGGTGCTTAGCCAGCAGTGAGCAGCTCCAACATCTTCTGGCTGGGATCTCTGGCTCACTACTGCCCAGACAGTTGCCAAAGACTCCCTGCACACAAGGTGAACCCCACAAGCACGCCTGAGCTAGGTTTGGGATTGTGGGCACCATCCAAGAGGCACCATCTACTCAATATCAGTACTTGAGCTACACACAGCGAAGGTTGAATGGCTGGAGAATTTCTTGACCTCCTTTTTCTCTGTCTTCTGCATTTTCACTGTAGATAGGAATTTATTCACGGGCCTTGGAAGCCCTGGGCAAAAGAGCAGGGTTGGGGAGGGGGGGTGATCCCTGCTGTTGCTTCTACAGGCTGTTTCTCAGCACAGTGAGTTCCCAGCTCAAGGCTGAGAGGAGAGTCCGCTGGGGGATTCTCTCATAATCTTTAGACTTTAGAGTCACTTTCTCTGCTGAGAAGCTTCTAGTCGGCCAGAGAAGGTCATGGAGGGAGTTAGCAGACCCAAGCCCCTCACAGTCTCGTCTCTTTAGGGCAGTAGAACAGCTCCAGACTTTGTTACTTCCCACCTGACTCTGGGCAAATTGTTACCATTTTTTTTTTTTTTTTTTTTTTTGTGACTCAACATTCTAGAAAGTGATATACTAATCCCTATTACCGGATAGAGCAGCTGTAGGGAGGAAATGGCATGGGGCATATAAAGCAACAGATAGGTGATAACTCGTTAGCATCATTTAAGAGCAGAAGTAAAGGAAAGGAGCCAGGCAGGCTCCCAACACCCCCATGCTTTCCCCCTTTGGGGCTCTGCATTGGTGTGTCCTCTGCTGATCAAAAAGACCTCTCCCATCATCACGGTTCTCAGAGCATCCTTGACAGTATGTATGTTAGACACTGGTGTGATACTGTTCATTGTGTCTTCTGACCACCATGGCTCTCCATGAGTCTGTCTTGCAGTGTTGATGAATTCATAACACACGGAAGGGTGCCTAGCAATAAGAAGTTGCTGCAAGAAGGAATGAGCCGAGAGATGGGTGGATGAACGGGTCTGGACCAAGAAGTACAAGTGAAGAGGTTATACCCTGCTTTGCTTACAGCTGGTAGGGTGTGCTAAGCCTCCCATGCCTTCCATTCTCTTTCGAAGCCTTCACGGGAGCTCACAGAACCTACTTCTCTTTGAGATTCACGGTTAGCAGTCAGAATATCTTGGGGGAAAGGGGACAAAGTGATCAAGCCACCTCTGTCACAGATTCAGAGACTAGGGCATCCAGTCTCAAAGAATCGCTGTGGCTTACCCAAACCCACTGCAGGAAGTATCACCAATCTATCCCAGCTTCCAGAGGCCTAAGTTGGCCTATGGTCAGAGGTGTCATGTTGTGCCAAGATAGTGCCAGATCCCTTCCTCTATATACAATCGAAGACACTGAAGCCAAGTCAAGTGAGGGACTTGCCAAGATGGATAATGGGCAAAGCCAGATCTGGAACCAGGACGCTGACAGCCCAGAGTTCTAAGTGTTTTTCCAACATGGAACTGACTTGTGAAACACGCAGTCTGGACCTGAGAGCCTACTGTGGAAAGAAGGGCAGCGAGGCACCAGGAGCCAGTGTCCCTCTGAGCAGAGAGTCCCCTGGCTGGCCACTGTGTCCAAGGGTGGGAAGGAATTTACTGTAGGAACCCTCGGTCCTACCAGAGCTACTTCCTCCGGGCACCCAAAGAAGGAAGCCCGTAATTATGGCTTTTTCCTCTGCTCTCCAACCTAGGCACCAAAGGCATGTTGTCAACCCAGCTGTCTGGCACCCAGGGAAAAAGCAGGAAGGCCCTGAGTAGGCAGGCAGCCCAAGCCATGGTCCAGGTGCCAGCTATGGGCTGAGCTCAGGCTTCATTCACCTCCCATGTAACTCTGCAGGTATTGACCCTGGTCAGGGCTTTCCTTCCAGCTCCCAAACATCCCCAGACCCCAGACCAAGCTCTGCCCCTGTCTCCCAGGTGGTCCGGATGGAGGAGGAACTGACTCACAGGCCCGGTTTAGATGTTCAGTTTGGTATCCAACGTAATTTTTTAAAATAAGATTTATTTATTATGCATACAGTGTTCTGCCTGTATGTATGCCTGCAGGCCAGAAGAGGGCACCAGATCTCATTATGGATGGGTGTAAGCCACCATGTGGTTGCTGGGAATTGAACTCAGGACCGCTGGAAGAGCAGCCAGAGCTCTTAACCTCTGAGCCATCTCTTCAGTCCTCCAATGCAATTTATAGTAAAGGGGAGGGGTGTGGCCCAGACCCTCAAAGCCGCCTGACAGTTGATTGTCTATTTTCTAGACATTCTCTCTCTGGGCTTTCTCTGAACTGAATCGCCACAGGCTGGCGACCTCCCTCCTCAGCGCAGTCCCCTCTTTAGAACCAGGGCTAGCCAAATAAGAGCCCCAGGGTCTGCAAGCTCAGGTGTCCCCTACGGATAGTGCGGAGGTGGACGCCTTTTCCACCGCGCTGGAAGGGTGCTATAACCACAGTGGCACCAGAGCGCTACCCCAGGGTCTGCTGCTCACCCTCCGGGCTTGTAGCTACATGTGAATATACCAGCAGCCTGCTGCCTTTTGCCCTCCCGACCTTGAAGAAATGTGTTCGCCCGCACCTCCCCGCGAGCCCCCCCACGCCAGGACGGTTGAGAGAAGGTCACCACGACGGTTGCACATTTGAACACTGAGCCCTTACTCTGCGTGGGAGTTGGCTACTCTAAGTCCAGCTGCCTTCCTAATTAATTGAGCCCTTGGAGAGTTTGGCGCAAGATCCCCGCCCAGATCTTTTATTTCTGACAGTCAGTCCGAATCCATCTATCTCTTTCTTCCCTGTCCCCCCAAACCCAGCCACTCATCCTTCCCCATAGATCCTCTCCCTTGCTCTGGTCTCCCGCTGCGATCCTCAGAAACACACCCGCTACCACGCACAGACAACTTTCTTTTCGGTACATAGATACCAACCAAATGTGCACAGTAAACATCCCCATGTAGCTGCTCCCTGTGACTTCCTGGTGAGAGTCCACCAAGGGGCCGCAAGGCGAGAAAGCTGGGTGGAAGGGACCCAGTCTTGCCTCGGCCTGGGTCTGGCAACCCTAGCACTTGCAAAGTAGCGGGGAGGGGGTGTTTCTCTGTAGAGAAGTGCGAAGGAAGCTGGGCGGGTATGCCCGACGCCCCATCCTCCAGCCAAGGAGAGCGCTCAGGTCTTAGGGCGTGGAGTGGGGGTTGCAGTGCCTTAGGGTGGGGAGGCGGGGCACAGAGCTGTGGCGGGAGCCTCCGGCGGGTGGCCCTCACTTGGCAAGGACCGGGACACCGTGCTGCAGCGAGGGGAGGCGACTCCTGCCCTGCATTCCGCGATAGGCCTGAGTTGGGGGGCTCAGAGCTGCGGGTCGAGCGTTCAGCAGGGGGCGCTGCTCCGGGCGCTGGGCGGGGGTGGGGTGGGAGAGGAGTGGGGCAGCGGCTTGCTGCGCACACTTCCCCCATTATTAAACACTGTGTTCAAAAGGCGTCGCGGGACTTCCCGGAGCCACGGAGCCCGTGTCGCGCGACGGAACGGCCCACGGAGCCCATGGACCTGAGCGCCGCCGCCGCGCTGTGTCTCTGGCTGCTGAGCGCGCAGTTCAGCTCACCAAGCTGTCGCAGGAACGGCTCGGTGGTGCCACACCACTTCATGATGTCGCTTTACAGGAGCCTGGCTGGGAGGGCTCCGGCCACGGCAGCCTCGGGGCACGGCCGCGCGGACACGATCACTGGCTTCATTGACCAAGCGACTCAAGGTACTTTACGTATCTTCTATGCCAGCACATCCTGTCTGCTCCTGCTCTGAGATGAGCTGGGGGAGGCAAGCTTCTGCTCCATTGGGTTGTGAGCCAAGGTCCCATGAACCCCATTTCAGGTGTTAGAAACTTCGTCTCCGATGTCAGCGCATCCGAACTTGCTAAGCCTGGACTGTGGCGCCAGTCGGTTTGGTTTCTGAGGGCCGAGGGGTTGGAGGTCCCTCTGTGGAAGTGTAGGCTGTCAGGTCTCCCTCAAGCAGGCGAGAGGAGTTCAAGATCTGCTTCTTTGGGGAAGAGTCTAGGGTGGCTTCGGGACTGGAGCCCTTGGAAGAAAGAAGGTAGAAAAAAGGAGAGGAGTGGGGACCCTGGCGTTCCCGCCAAGAGGGACTAGCAGTGATGGTAGCTCCCTGTCTCCAGGGAAGGATTGAAGGAGCTAAGGAGAAATCAGGGCAGAGAAACAGGTATCCGATTAAAGCAAATGGCCTCTCTCTGTATCAGGAGGGCCCCTGTCAGCAGGCTGCATGGGGTGGACAGTGGCTTCTGTGTGGGAAGTGTGGGCGCCTGTGTTCTGTGGCAGCCAGGCCCCAGTGGCCTGAGTCCAGGACTTCAGTTGTGTGGGGAGGACAGGGATGCCTGGAGCTCAAGCGTCCCATCTTACCCTGTGCTGGACCCTCCAAAGGTAGGGTGTGGGTGGGTAGTTGCTGTGTGTCATCTGGCTTTTATTAATCTCCATTGAAGCCATTAAAGCAGACAGATAGGGAAAATTTAACTAATTTCAGGCGGAAATGCAAGCAATTTTGGCCTTAATTCTGCCCAGCCAAAGATCTAGCTTGGAAATCAAGAAGGAAAGGAAGGCAAATAGGCCGGAAAAATAAAGTTGGGCAGCCACCGACAGTCTGCAGGCTGTTGATAGCAGCGTGGAAAAACAGGCAGGGGCCACCTTGCAGCAATCACCCATCTCAGAAACAATACAGTCCTAAGCACAGCTTTCTTTTCGGTACATAGAAATCCTGGGCCCAAATGGCCCTTAGGACCAGCGTGAGTCTTCAGAAGGTCTGTCACAGCACTCCGCACTGACTCATGGGAAGCTCCAATCCGGTACACAACATCAGGGGAAACTCCAGACCTGCCTCTGCATAGGGTACAGGAGATCAGAGCATGGGAAGGGCCCTAAAATAGCAGGATCATCAGACTTGGTGAGGGCTGGCTTGGTGTACTGTATTGTAGAACCAACTAAATCTTTCTGATGGAGGGAGCTCGGCTTGATCAGCAAGACCCAGAGGCCCGCAGCCTTTCCTCCCTCCCTCCCTGGAGAAGTGGGGGTGAGGTAGAGGCTGCAGAGAAAGCTCTTTGGGGGAACGCAAGTGCGGGGGTGAGGGTGGGGTTGGGGAGGTTGGGGTGGTGGTGGAGGAGGTGGGACGGGGCTGGGGACACAGCCCAGCACCTCTGTTTAGCTTGCGACCACCATCTTCAGTTTAGAACAGGGCTGCTTGAGCAACACACCCAGAGTGTAGACTTAAGGCACGAAGGCGGAAGGCCTGGCGTCCACGGTTGGTGAACGAATCTCGAAGGTGGGGGGAGTCTGCACGGTCTCTCCGATGGGGCAAAACGAAACCATATGACCCCCTTCAAAGGCAACGCCTTATCTGCTCTTTAGTGGAATTTAAACTTTTTTTTTTTTTTTTGCCCAAGTTCACCCCTAAAGAAGAAGGGCCCATGACCAGAAATAAAACCCCAAGCCGGGAATAAATCACACTAGAGCGAAAGACTCAGCAGAGCTCATCATGGCAGTCATCGCCGCCGCTAATCTTTCCTGGAAGGTTCTTTGCATCCCACTGCCTTTTCCCTTCCGGTCTGGTGGCTGCTGGAGCACCAGGAGCAGCCAGGAAACAAGGAAAGCTTCCTGCGGACTTGGGAGAACCGATTGCTAACCTGGGCCTTCATTTCCATTCTGCTGACGGGAAAAGGTGACCTGGAGGAGAGGAGGTCTCTGTCGTGGTGAAGCCGTGTTCCGTTTCTGGACTCTTCTCCCGGCCCAATTTGCACCGGAAACCGAGGTTAGTGAGGGTGTCTAGTAGGCTGGGTTGGGAGAAGAGAAGGAACCAAAGGGGAAAATGTTTTTTAGGAAATGAGAACTTTTCGTTTTGCACAGCCAGGGGTCTCGCAGCTCTCTGGGGGTGCTCAGCCCAGCAATAAGGAGCAAATGCCATACAGAACAAGTACCCGAGAAAGTGCGTGCCTTATTTTGTGCCCTCTTGGCTTTCTGGTCACCTCTGACCAGAAGTCTGCCCTACTCTTTAGGCAAAGGCAAGGCGCTGGAGCAGGCAGAATTGAAGATGCCTTAAAGGTTTCGGTCCTGGGGTGCGGTGGTGCGTTCTTGGTCCCCACAGCTCAGCGATTAGGTGTACAACTATGGTCGTAGTGAAGGCCGAAGAACCAAAGCATTAGGTATGGGAGACAAGAAAGAATTGGCAGCACTCGTTCTGAAGCCCAGATGTGGGAACCACTGCCTGCTCCTATGGGCCTTCCTGGGATGTTTTGTGTCAAGCACAGAAAAGCCAAAGCAAGCTGTCCCCATGGCTGCGCGTACTGGCTCCACTCTCGTTCAACGCTTTCCGTTTCTGTCCTTCCCACGGAGGAACTAGCTTCCCCGAGCTGAGTGCGGAGCTGCGACCATTCCTCCGCTGCTGCTGCTGCTGTCCACCTGTCCCGACGCCACCCGCACACCTCACCTACTGCACTCGCGGGCTGCCGAGCCCCTAGAAGCCGCGCGCTGGGAAGCATTCGACGTGACCGACGCGGTGCAGAGCCACCGTCGCGCGCCGCGCGCCTCCCGCAAGTTCTGCCTGGTGCTGCGCGCGGTGGCCGGCTCCGGGAGCAGCCCGCTGTCCCTGCGGCGACTGGGCTTCGGGTGGCCGGGCGGCGGCGATGGCCCCGCTGCCGAGGAGCGCGCGCTGTTGGTGATCTCCTCCCGTACACAGAGGAAGGAGAGTCTGTTCCGGGAGATCCGCGCCCAGGCCCGCGCGCTGCGGGCCGCCGCTGAGCCACCACCCGATCCGGGACCAGGCGCTGGGTCTCGGAAAGCAATCCCGGGCGGACGCAGGCGAAGGCGGACGGCTCTGGCGGGGACGCGGGGAGCGCAGGGCAGCGGTGGAGGTGGCGGCAAGGGCCATGGGCGCAGAGGCCGGAGTCGCTGCAGCCGCAAGCCTCTGCACGTGGACTTTAAGGAGCTGGGCTGGGACGACTGGATCATCGCACCATTAGACTACGAAGCGTATCACTGCGAGGGCGTCTGCGACTTTCCTCTGCGCTCGCACCTGGAGCCCACCAACCACGCCATCATTCAGACGCTGCTCAACTCCATGGCGCCCGACGCGGCGCCGGCCTCCTGCTGCGTGCCCGCACGCCTCAGCCCCATCAGCATCCTGTACATCGATGCCTCCAACAACGTGGTCTACAAGCAGTACGAGGACATGGTGGTGGAGGCCTGCGGCTGCAGGTAGCATTCCTTCTGGGGAGGGCCTTGCTGCCCAGGACCCCAGCAAAAGAGCAGCCTCATCCTGGCCTGTCACCAGGCCGGGAGGGACGGTGGAATATGGCCTCCGCCTGCGCAGAGGAGAGCACACAGTTCACACTCACATTTACACACTCCTTCACTCGCGCACACATTTACCATGGACAGCAGGCGCGGAAAGCCTTGTGCAGATGCGACGACTGGATGTCACAGTCATGTTTATATAACATCGATACAAACCGCTGTCTCCTTTAGAAGGGTGTCTGTGTTGATGTTGCGGTAATTGGCACGAAGTCCAAGTAGAAAGGGGTTAGCATTGGATTCTCCATTTAGTTGGAGGCTGGGTGGCTGGATTTCTGGCAATGGACACTGAGTCCCCCTGCAGGGCTGTAATACCCAGATTCTCTGGATGTGTGCATTGGGAATCTTCAAAAAGCAAGGAACCACTGGGGAAAAAAAAAGCACCGATCCCCTAAACAAGCCCGATGTGGTGCTGTCTCAGTTTTGAAAAGGAAGCTTTATCCAAAAGAATGGGTTGTGCTGCAAATATCAATAACGACTTAAAAAATATTAGTTCCAACTAGGAATTATCTGGGAAGTAGGAAGAATATTTTTCTCTTGGAGGTGTGTGAAATGGCGGAAAAGAGTGCGGAATAGGAGCGGCCAGGTTTAGAAGCATCTAGAAGGTTGGTAGCAGGAGGAAGTTAGAGCAATGGCTGTACATGGGTTGCAGAGGCAGCTGGGGTGTGTGCCAAGAGGGTTTCCCAAGAGGCTGCAAAGGAGGCTCTCAGGGCTTGCGTGTCCTGGGGCAGCTCCAGGGGAGGATCCAAGCCCACTGGCCAGGTGGGCACAGCCCCCTCCCAAAGGCCGTGTGTGCCTATACTTTGCTGTCACATCCGTGCTGGCCCCAGTGTGCCTCTCACTGTGCTTGTTGGGAACTTTTTGACAGTGTGACAGTGACAGGAAGTGAAGCCACACACAGATGCCTTTGTCAGATCTAAAGGCACAGCCTGGACCTGCAGTGCAGGAAGAAGTTGGTCCTTGCTCCTAGACTGTGGTCCTTGGTGTGGGATGAGCAGGTGCAAGCCTGTCTCCCATCTCCAGAAGTTTTGCTCTACTGAGGTGTTTGATTTCTTGGTGGCTGTCCATCCTTTGAGATCTCCTGCCAACGGTTGGGACAGAGAAATAATCTGGGCTGCACCTGTCGGAGGGCTTAGACATTATGCTGTGTTTTCTCCTTTAGGCTGTGGGAGAGGTATTAATTCTGCCCTTGTCTTGGATGCCAAGGTCCAGGACAGTTTATGGGTGTTTTAGTTATTAGTGGTTACACTTCACTCCCCAGAGACAATGAAGATGAAGATTTAGACCCAGCTAATTTATTTAAGAGCCCCATCTGAGTCCTTTTCATTTTGCAAAATTTCCCCCCAAGGGGAAAATAATCCATGTATAATTTATTCTTAAAACATAGATTTCTCTTCTTTTAGAATATGAACTTGTATGGCTGTGAATAGCTGTAACCAGAAAATGCAACAATTTCAGTTTTGTTTTGTTTTAAATCACAAAGTGGCTATTCTTGATAGGATTTCATCTCTTTTTGGTGACTGGGCAGAGATATCTGTCCAGATTTTGGATTCTGCAAGATTCCCCTCTTCTGTTTTTTTTTTCTTCCTTCCTTCCTTCCTTCCTTCCTTCCTTCCTTCCTTCCTTCCTTCCTTCCTTCCTTCCTTCCTTCCTTCTCTCTCTCTCTCTCTCTCTCT